GGGACAGAAGAATAACCTGATGGCCTAAGATTATGGGAAAAGAGATACCAAGTGGTAATACTGAGGAAAAAGTAGCCAGAAGATTAATTTTAAAAATCACAAATGCTGTAGAGGCACTTCTGCCTTCAACGTGTTTCTTAACCACAGGATACAGGTTTCAGAGTAACAGCCGTGTTAGTCTGTATTCACAAAAAGAAAAGGGGTACATGTGGCACCTTAGAGACTAACAAAGGTATTTGAGTATAATCTTCAGTGAGCTTTCTGTAGTTATAACTGGTGCATGGTAACACCCATTGTTTCATGTTCTCTGTGTATACAAAATCTCCCCACTGTATTTTCCACTGCATGCATCCAATGAAGAGAGCTGTAGCTCACGAAAGCTTATGCTCAAATAAATTTGTTCGTCTCTAAGGTGCCACAAGTCCTCCTTTTCTTTTTGAGGATACAGGTTGTGCATCAGTGCTAATAAGAATAAAGAGAACCTACATGACCTATAGAAATTGGGGATCCCTTAAGTTCTAGGGGACACCAGACCAATAAGAAAAAAAGACAGCTGACACTTTCCTGTACATGCACAGAATGTAGGGATAGGCAGAATCGCATTATACAAATGGGTTGCCCAGAGCGGGAAAATAGAATTTCCTATGGGAGAACTCCAGCAGGAACCATCCTTTTATTGATGATCAATCCATGAGACACCCATCACACCCTAACACTATCTAGGAGGATGTATGTCTGTAGTTATAACTGGTGCATGGATATATCTAGGACAGGGGTGGGCAAACTTTTAATTGTAGGCAGGGCCATGAATATAGGGCTGGGGCAGGGGGTTGGGGTGCAGAAGGGAGTGCGGGGTGATTCAACAATACCACTTGTTGGCAGGAACTGTCATTTAAGTACTGCCAAATTTACTGAACAAGATTTAACGAGATCCCCAAACAAGCTAATATAACCACAGATTAACAATAATATGATTCAGTATATTACAAATCCTCAACACTAACCAACTAGTATAAACCGCTCTGAACTATGCTAACATGCTTGTACATATTGACTTTTCAGTCCTAAGTTCTGGAATGTCATCTTTTTAAAAAAAGAAAAAAGACATTTGATATTTTTAGTAAAATATTTCCTTCCAGCTCAGTAGCCTGGTGGCAGCGGAGGGCATCACCAGAGAAAATGCTAGTGTGACACCTGAGTTCACAACGCTAGTTATTGTTGAGTCCATATTTTTTTCTAAGCTGTATTTTAGGGCTTATTTTTCAATACATACATTAGAAGTTCTTGTCTGATCTACCCTGGAAGAACTCTGTGGCAACTAGAAAACTGGGGAAATTATGACATTACAAGAAACTTGTACATGTTCAATTGAGAGAGAAGGAATTTCAGTAAAACTGTTTTGATTACACAGGTTTTTTGGATGTCTCTGTTAAGGATTCCATACATTCAACCCTTCAGTTAAGGTATGTAAACTCAAAAACATTTCCCAGACACCCCTCAAAAGGCCTTCAACAAAACCAGGGAAAGTTAGACAGGACATTCCCAGTACTTTAAGAAAAACAAATGTACAGCCCCTCTTTCCACACACACTACTGTTCAGGCCTTATTTATGTATCATGAAGATGATAGTAAGTACTTTGCAGATCATCTTTTAGTTAGAGCATTACTCGTAAAGAATTCTGTCCAAAAAACAGGTTAATACCCACATTGTTGTTATATTCAGGTATTAAGGTCATACAATACTTATAGCAAATCTACAAAGAGTGAAACTTCCAACATATGAAACTATTCAAATGCTAGTAGTACAGTACATTTGTTGAAATGGATAAGACAATACTATCGAGACTTTAAATAGTACATTTGCCCAGTTAGCAAATAAATTGTTTTCTCTGGCAAGGTGAAACTATTATGGCAGTTGGAAAAAGGGGACAATGCATGAGTGTCTCCTTCTCATCTCCCTCCGACTACACTACAAACTTACATTGGTATAACTACATTGCTCAGGGGTGTGAAAAATCCACACCCTGAGTGTCACAGTTATACCAACCTAACCCTCCTGGTGTAGAAAGCACTATATCAACAGAAGAGCTTCTCCCACCAACATAATCCACCTGTGCGAGAGGCGGTGGCTAACTACACCGACAGGAAAAGCTTTCCTGTCAGCACAGTAGCATCTTCACTGAAGCACTATACCAGCACAGCTGCACCACTGCAGGGTTTTAGGTGTAGACATGCCCTAAGCAGCTGCAGACAAGGCAGGGACTCAGCCTCTAGCAGCAACTAAGTACTTAGTACTACTGATTAAAGCCTGGGGGCAGCCACACAAATCTGTGTAAGTGAGATTGGGTCGCATGTGGCCCAACTAGCACAGAGCTGTGGCCCAGCTCAGCTGTGCGCTGAAGGCCAGCCCACGTGGCTGGGTCCGGGTTCCCAGCTGCCCAGCACAGTAGGATCCGAGCTGCCCCACCATCCAGCGCAGCGGGGTTGGGGTCCGGTCGGGGCTGCCGGCCAGCCCCACATGGCAGGGGGTCCGGGGCGGGGCCTGGGCTGCTGCTGCCCGGCCACTCAGCTCCTGCGGCCCAGGTAACACACTGTGGGTCGCATAAGTAAGTTGAGAACCACAGGTCTAAGCCAGAGGTGGGCAAACTATGGCCCACGGGACCATCCTGCCCAGTCCCTGAGCTCCCGGCCAGGAAGGCTCACCCCCATCCCCACCCTTGCCATCTTCCCTCCCCCGCAGCAAAGCCGCCACACGGGCAGCGAGGCTTGCACCCTCCCGGGCTTTCAAATAAGCCTGTCCTGCCGCTCTGAGTGGCATGGTAAGGGTAAGGGGGGGAGGGGGAGAGTTAGATAAGGGACAGGGGTCCCGGGGGGGGGGAGGGGAGTTAGGAGACGGGGGAGGGGTTGGATAGGGTGTGGGGTCCTGGGGGGGGTGGTGTGGTTAGGGGCAGGGGATCCCAGGAGGGAGTAGTCAGGGAACAAGGAGCAAGGGGGTTTGGATGGGTCGGGAGTTCTGAGGGGAGCATTCAGGGGGTGTGAAGTGGGAGGGGGCAGATAGGGGGCGGGAGCCAGGCTGTTTGCGGAGGCACAGCCTTCCCTACCCAGCCCTCCATACCGTTTCGCAACCCTGATGTGGCCCTCAGGCCAAGAAGTTTGCCCACCCCTGGTCTAAGCCCTTATAAAACCTCATTCAGCTGATGGAAGAATTGCTTGACAGGATAGGAGCAAAGAAGAGCGTATGTGATGGGGAAGGGAGGAAAATGAGGACAGGGAATTGATGGAGAGGGTTGGAAGTGCTCTCCTTATATATTTCTAGGAACCAAAAGAGAGAGAAAAGAGGTATGTCCTTCCCCATGGAAGAAGAGAGTAATGAGCCGCCCCATGCCCCATCTTCCAGGGGGGAGCATCTCTCTCCAGAAAGCAGCTTTTTCTTTTAAGGCCACGTCTACACTAGAGAGCTTACAGCAGCACAGCCCTATCGATGCAGTTGCACCACGGTAAGGTCTCTCATGTAGTCACTCTATGCTGATGGAAGAGAGCTCTCCCATCGACATAACTAAACAACCCCCAACGAGCAGCGGTAGCTACGTCAGCGGGAGACGCTGTCCACACTGGCAGTGTCTTTTTTTCTTCCCATACCCCTGAGCGACATAAACTATACCAACAAAAGAGGTAGTGTAGACATAGCCTAAGAATCAGCAAGAGACAGTGGACTTCAAAATTTTACACCTACAGGCCAAGGCTCTGTATGCTGCCAGGAAGCACCTAGCCCCAGGGAGCACAGCCTTTCAGCTCGGTGTCTAGCCAGCAGGCAGCTAGCCCATCGCTCCAGCCCAGAGCTGGCTGTTGCCAGACCCAGCACAGGCCATCGGCAGGGCAGAGCTAAGCTACAGGAGCGGGCTAACACAGCAGGGTGAACATTCTCACAGAAGAGGTAAGTGGGACACACCTTCAAGGCAACCCCCAGGGCAAAAGCCAAGCACGCAGCAGTTGACAGCGTTTTATGGCTGTCCTCAGGCTCTGAGCAGCAGAATTAAACTAAGCCCTGGTCTACACTACACGTCACTATAAGTACATCACTCAGCAACATGGAAAATACACCCCTGTGCAATGCAGTTATACTGATCTAACCCTGAGCGTAGACACTGCTATGTTGACAGGAGGCCTTCTCCCATTGACATAACTACAGCCTCTCAAGTTGGTCTACACTATTGCTTAAATCGATGTAACTTACATCACTCAGAGGTATGAAAGACATCCTTCCTAAGCGATGTAAGTTACATCGACCTAGGGCCGGTGTGTTCAGCATTTATGTCGGCAGAAGACGCTCCCCCGCCAACACAGCTTCCACTTCGGGGTAGTGTAGGCTTGCCCTCAGGGAGGTGGAGCACTTACACCGACTGAGGAGAGTCTTCACTGAGCGCTAAAGCAGCACTGCTCCAGTGCTGTAAGTGTAGACAAGTCTTAAGTATTTTGCTGCTGTTGCTAAAGGCTGAATCCCTGCCTTGGTTGCAGCTGCTTGGAGGGAGAGCAGGAGACTGAGACACTCCCGGGTGTCCCCTTTTCCCCAACTACCACAGCAGCAGGCAAAGGGAAGTTTTGCTCTCTCCCCTGGGGAAAGTGGGGTCTCTCTCCTCCCACTTCTGGCGCCTCGAAACACACAGGGCGAGCACGTCCCACCCTCTCCATCTATTTTCCCTGGTCTCCTTCTCCTCCCCTTCCCCAGGGCCATGGCACGGAGCAGGCTCTCAGCCGCCGCCCCACCCCTCTCCCTTGGGGCAGGGTCTCCATCAGCCGGCCCACGCCTGCCTGCCGCTCAGGGCGGGCACGGCCCCGCTACTCCAGTGAGGAGCAAGCTGACAGCAGCAGCCACCCGCCCCCTCCCCCCCCAGAGCAGGGGGCCTGGGTTTCAGCCGCGGGACGCCGCGCGAGGCGGCTCCCCGTTGGGCTCGCGCTGTCCCGCGGGCTCCCGGGCGGGGGTGGGGGGCGGGGGCTGTTACCTTCGCTCTTGCCCAGGATGCGGCAGCACAGGTTCTGTAGCAGAACGTTGGGGGATTTCTGATCCGGACACGCCATCCTCACCCCGGGGCGTGGGGAGGGGGCGGGGAACCTCCCTCTGCAACAGCCCCGCGCGCGCGCGCACGCCCTGCGCCTCACAGCCTAACGGCCGCCGCCTCTCATTACCTAGGGCGCCATTTTAACAGAACCCGCGGAAAGCAGCAAGCGCCCACAATGCCCTTGTGCGCTGGGCGACCCGGAACGCGCAGCGCCGAACACCACCCGCTCTCCTCACACAGCCCCGGCGGAGAGGTTCCGGGGCACAAAGTGACCGCCGGTCCTCTCAGCCAGATACTGACCCCAGACCCACACGTAGAGCCCGATACCATCGCAGGGGGCGGCGAGGATTAACACAAAAATCAGGACAGGAATATGCAGATCTCCCCGCCCCCGTCCCCTCGAATGCTGATGACAGGTTTTTTGTTTGTTTGTTTTTTTTTTGGGGGGGGGGGGGTCTACAAGGCCCCTGCCAGACCCAAGACTCTCCTGCTCCTGCCATGGTGACACCCCAGCAGTGTTTCAGGCTGTCACCCGACCTGCTCTATGTCGTCACCAGCCTCACGACCACCCAACGATGTCACCGAGTTATGTCATGCTGCAAATGAGGGCTGGCCAAAATACGGCCCCTCCAGCCACCAGGAGATTGCAAAATGCCAAGACTTCTGTTTCCATCCTGAACTGGGATGAAAAATCAAAAGCTCCGCTGCCCTCTCCAAATGCCCTGTTCCCCAATTGCTCCCTGCAGCTTAGCAGTGTGATTTTTATATTATACATTACACCATATTTAATAGAAAAGTTGAAATTATAAATCTTACTCTAACAAACATAGAAAAGAAATATTTTGATAATTTCCTGTCACACATGCTTGTTATCAATTCACCGTCCTGTGGAACATTTCCATTTTTTGGAATCAGAATTTTCTGACAGAAAACTGTCCCACTGGAAAAATTTCAACTTGTTCAATGCAAACAAGGTCGTGGCCTAAAAGAAACCACCATATGATGCCTGCACTGCTTGCCCTTGAAACAGATGCAGGATCTGATGGAGATTTGCAGCCTCCATAATCTCTGGAGTTTGGTCTCCACCCTGGCTAGGTTCCACTGCTTAATCATGATGTTGAGTATGTAAGCAGTGTCAGGATGAGCTCCACCCTGACATCTGGTGGTGAGGTGTGACAAGTTGTGGAAAAGAACTTCAGGGGCCAATCTCATGGCTCTAGACTGTTCTCAATGGTATCAGATGACAGAACGAAGAGTAATGGTCTAAAGCTGCAGTGGGGGAGGTTTAGATTGGATATTAGGAAAAACTTTTTCACTAAGAGGGTGGTGAAACACTGGAATGCGTTACCTAGGGAGGTGGTAGAATCTCCTTCCTTAGAGGTTTTTAAGGTCAGGCTTGACAAAGCCCTGGCTGGGATGATTTAACTGGGAATTGGTCCTGCTTTGAGCAGGGGGTTGGACTAGATGACCTTCTGGGGTCCCTTTCAACCCTTATATTCTATGATTCTATGATTCTATGATTCATTTGCATAGGCACACCCACCCTGCCTAGAATGAGACCATAGCTGCCCAAATGGTCACTTTGGCTGCTGTGGGATCCCCAGTGTCTCTGTTATTGGGGCAGGAAGAATAAATTGTTATTATCCTGATTATGGGAACTGTGCTTGGAACTGTACGTGGCCTTTTGTAATGATGGAGGGATTCACCATCATCTAAGTAGCACTCGCTAGGCAAGGGTCATGGGTTCCAATACTCTGTGAATAGAAAGAGGCTAGGGACAAGTATTAATACTTGGTGGTATGAGCCCTTTGGTGAGGGCCTTACATACTAATTGCACTTCCTCCTCTCTCCACTGTGGAATATCAGAGCTAATTTTGATTTCATTAAAAGTCTAGTTATAGGCTGCTGAGCTCACTTTGGGCTAACAGTTCACCAGCATTGAGGATCCCCTACTACAAGCTGAATTCACCTAAGAGCTGAAATCACTGAGTATTGTGTTAAGTAGTGGGGGAACCTGAAGATATATTGTGGAGCAGTTTGCGGGATGGCTAGAGTGCCTTATGGACAGGCTCGTGAAGCAGTTTGACACGGAGCAGTTCATGGATGGCAGGAGCTGCTCGTGGGCCGCGGAGCGCAGTTGACCGAAGGAGTTCGTGGGGTGGCTGGCAGAGCGGAGCACAGCTGAGCGAAGGAGTTCGTGGGGCAGCTGGCGAAGTGGAGCGGAGCTATGGGGCGGTCAGCTTCAGATCATGTAAGGTGCCTCTTACCCCTGTCCCCATCTCCACCCAGGTTGGGAGGTAAAGCTCCGCAGATAAACTTTTGAACTCTGGGGCTGCCCTGACCAGGGACAGAGACTTTTGGGTCATTGGACTTTTGGGACTTTGGGTGATTTGGGGTTGCTGGACTCAAGAACCAAAGGGAAAGGGCATGCCCCAATTTGCTTGGGGTGGGTTTTTTGCTCATGGGTTGTGTTATGAATCCTGTTGGTGGTGTTTCCCCAACATAATGCCACATTGTTTCTCTCTGTTATTAAAAGGCTTTTTGCTACACTCAGACTAGGTGCTTGCGAGAGGGGAAGTATTGCCTCTTGGAGGCGCCCAGCGGGGGTGGTATATATTTGTCCCAGGTCACTGGGTGGGGGCTCGAGCCAGTTTGCATTGTGTTATTGGAATGGATCCCCTAGATATTGAACTCGGCCCTTGTTGCTGCCAACTCTGACGGGCAGAAGGGTTATAAGTAGAAAAAATAAAGAGACACTGGGAAAATTTTATCATTTTGGAGGGAGGTGGCTGAGGATGTCAGGAAAGGGGGAAATGTCAGGCTTTTCATTTTCCTCTTGAAGGCAGGTATGCATATGTGTGACCCCTCCAGATGGGTTACGGGCCACCACCTTGATCAAAATACTAAGGGCCCAAGCACTAAAAGCAGGAGTCTCTACTTGAGCTAATGAGCAAGCTTCTCTAGCCAAGAGCTGAAACAGACCCACAGACTGTGTCAACGCAGCAGAGGGATGTCACACATAACACACACTGACACATGGGTTACATGTTTATATTTGCAAAATGCTGCTTGCGTGCATCTGTGGTTAAAAGAAGACTAAGGGCCCACTCCTGGAAATTCTTACTCATGTGGTCTTTACTAAATTATAGAGGGAGGAAGAAGTAACCCATATATTTACATTACACAACACTTTGTAAAAGGTTCTTGTGACTAGCTTTTGAAAATCTCTAACACTTCTATCATTTGCAGCAGGCCTCTGAAATTCAACTTGGAGAAAGCTCTCAGAATAGAGAAGCACCTTTCCTTTTTCCCCTGAAAATCTGTTCACGTTTAACGGAGTTATAAACTGTTAAAAATCACCATTTCCCTTAGCACACTTACATTCCATAGGAACATTTTGGGATCATATCAAAATAATAATTGAACTTGAACTAAATCCAAGATTGTGTTCAGGCCACCAAAGCAGCAGCAATAGCCCTCACTGTAGCAGTGGTGAAGAAGGAGAGGGATGGCTGGGCTGGGCTGTCCCCCACCCCTAACCCTGAGCTGGCACGGCACATAGTCCTAGAATTCCATCCTCTCCTCAGGTGGTCCCACATAGGACAGAAGCTCCTGCAACTCCTGTAGAGATTAGAAAGAGATGGACCAGGCTCCCATGACCACCCTCTGGAACTACCAGAACATCACACCTGCCCCTCCACACCAGGACAACAATTTTCTCCTGCAGCCAGTTAATGTAGTTATTGCCATAGCTCAAGTGCTAACAGTCTGCTCTTCAGTGCTGAATGTTCAAGGTCTAAAACCCTGCTGATAATGCATGATATGGGAGTTGTTACATTTGTACGTAATAAAAATGTTTTTAACTGATTCTTTAAAAAAAATCTATAAAAATGATATAAAGGAAAATTATGTAGTTGCAAAGTCAAGCACTCAAAAGTTAGGAAATGCCATTGTTGTAGTTACCTGTGCAACCTTAATTCAGCTCCCTTATGTGTATGCATTATGGTACAGTCTTTAGTTAGATGATCACTTATCACTTTTTCCACAATCTTTTTCCTCTTTCAGTGCACATGGTGGATGCACAAAGAGGTAGAATTAATGTTGAATGGCTTATCATAAAACTGGCATTTCCTGACCTTCAGATGTTTGACTTTGTAATGTAAATACATTTAATCTATCAAGGCACATGCGGGTTACTCATATACCATATAAAGGACATTGACAATACAGTGCCAGGAAACATTGTTGCTTCACAAAATCTTTAGATCCCAAGGAAACCCAACAACTAGCAAACATTTTGTTACTGACATAATTTCAGTTTGTAAAATGGACACACTTTAACTATAACAAAAAGAACGAGGAGTACTTGTGGCACCTTAGAGACTAACACATTTATTTGGGCATAAACTTGAAGTGGGCTAAAACCCACTTCAAGCTTATGCCCAAATAAATGTGTTAGTCTCTAAGGTGCCACAAGTACTCCTCACTATTTTTGCTGATATAGACTAACATGGCTATCACTCTGAAACTTAACTATAACAGTTTCTGCTCCTGTTAATCATTTCTAATTATGACTATTATATAGGTCATGGCTCTAAAGCTAAAAAAAACATCATGGAACAGAATAATAAGAACACACTGTTAAAATGCACATACTCATGCATGAGTGAACACACATGCAATTACCCATTTAGGTTTCCAACTCCTAATCACAACAAAACCATATTCTTTGTTTATGATTCTGAAATATCATAATGGGTATCATTATAATTTATCTTTTGTATTACCATAGCAGCTAGAAGCTTCAGTCATGGACCAAGACCCCATTGTTTTAGGAGCTGTACAATCACAGAACAAAAAGACAGTCCCTGCTCCACAAAAGCTTATGATCTAAGTATCAGACAAGAGACAACAGATGGATACAGACAAACAGGGGAGTACAATGAAACAATGAGAAAATATTGGTCAGCTTGATAGACAATGGTCTCAACATACCAGCAGCCTAACAGTTGCCAAGTTTTTTAGGCTTCACAGCAAAGGAGAGTTTTAAGCAGGGTTTTGAAGAAGAATAATGTAGTAGCCAGGGGCGCCAGAATAGGGATGCCAGGGGGCCATGGCCTTCCTACTTTTTGAAAGTTTACAGGCCTGAACTGTCCACTTTTTGATATGGC